AGACAGACACTATTAGCACTTAAAATTAACCCTGGTTCAAATCTCAAACAACAGATTTTCAGGGCCAAATTACACTTACTGAAATTACAGAACTGTTTTTTTTTCCATCTAGAAATAATTACAATAGTTTAAACTAGAAGTTTCTAAAGCATGAACAATTGACACCAAAATTCTCTTTTCCAGCCATAGCAGATAAAAACCATCACCTATATCACCATCATCTACAGAACACTGAAAAGGGCACAAAGATACTGAAGTGGAATATAAATCATCTATCGCAGATGAGGTTTTTTTTCACTGAATATTTTCAAAGAACATAAATAACTGCTCTGAAAGTCAATTTCTGGTATATCTCAGTTCTATTATATCTCCACCATTTTTTAAAAAAAATTCACAGTAAGACATTATCAACTGCTCTATTTATCAGATCAAAGTGCTTGGGTATTAAATATTTAAATTTGGATTTAAATCATTACAAAGAAGACTTAGTTTAATGATTAAAACAGTCATAATTGCAGATGGTACAGGATAATAAAAACAAGGACAAATAGGCTTAAAAACAACTTCTATACATTCATACATCTATCTTAATATTTTGCTGTACAATTCAATTCCTTGTGATTTCATAGATTTATCCATAAAATGTTGTTATAAAAAGACAGAGTGGGTTTCTTTTCCAGGATATTTTATTTTATTTTATTGCTCAGTCTAGTCTACAACTATAGTATCCAATGGAATCTACCATCCAAACACCAATCAAACCTAATCTGACAGTTTCTCAACTCAGAAAAAGTAATCTACCTGCTCAGTTGTGTTTTTTTTCTCTTTTAGAGTTAAAAAATGTGAAATGTTTTAAAGATAAATTGGATTAAAAACATGGACTTGAAAAATAGTCATATATTAAACTAGGTAACACCGAGTACTTGACACTCTCTTTTTCGTCCTCACACATATATCCCAAACAACATGAAAAGAATAATTCTCTACTTTCGTCTTTTAAGATAACATTAGCTTGAAACATATGCAGATGCTGCTTTTCTGAGATGTAAATAAATGTAACAAAATAAACCTAATTTTAACGTTGGCTGTTAAGGTCAAGAACCTACGTGGTCTCAGATATCAAAACCAATTTGTATAGAAAGTTCACCTGTCTTTTGTAATTGAACTCATGACCCCTCAAGTACTAAATACATTATTAAGAAAGCACACTATTAAAAGACATTCAACTGGATATTACAAACAACTCCATAAAGTTTAAAACTTAAGCCTTTCAATATAATAGATACCATTAAAGAGGTGTTTTAAATTCTTCCCTGGTATCAGATGTCTAAATAATTCATCATCAGTAGTCTTTATGCATATAGTTACCTATTAAAAGAAACAATACAGTACTTAAGAAAAAGCTACTTGCTAACCAAGAAGCAGCTATCCTAACTGAATTAACAGATTCCAAGCTTTCTTTACCTAAAATATGTCAAGAATAGTTTTCATATGATACACAAATTAAAGAGAACAATTATTGTGCTCATTCAACAATTTCTTAACTACTGACTAGTGCTGGAATTCTGTAATTGTGGGCTGACTGCTGGAAACTGTGAGAAGAACGGGGGTGGAAATATTATTTCCAAAACACCACAGGTGACCCCGTGCTTTGCCCTGCGTGTTTTCTGAAATGTCAAATGTCCCCCCACAAATATATTCAGATCATACCAAGGGTGCATTATCACAATGTAACTCAAAAGTCAAATTATTTAATTCCAGAAGTGCAAGGAATGAAAAGCTAATGTTCTACAACCCACCTCACATTGGAAAAGGCTATGTCCTTTCACTGTTCAGAGTGCTTTAGAACTGCAACATTTTGTTATTTATGTTAAATAATTCCCCAGTCATGAAAGATATATTCATCTTTTAAAACGTAAATGCTAGATACCAAACTAATCTTTAGCCAGATGTTCCAATTAGTAATTGCTGATCAATTGTAGGCAATATCAAATGTGAATGATTTTTAGGATCTATTTCAGTTTGGCTTCAGGTCTGTTTTACAGGATAAACTGTTTTAATTGTCATGTGGGGTAACCTATGCTGGAAACATGACTGGTTAGACATCTCAGATCAAGTTAAATAGAATTCCTCTTAAGGGTGAACTTATACTCATGAATTATTCACCGCTGAAGGCCTGAATGAACTGAATGGGTCAAGCTGACCTAGACATGTCATAAACAATTCTCAATATTTCAATATTTGTTTAATTTATTTCTAAATATAATATATGAGGCTCATTGTAACAATACCTAGCAGGTATCGGCTGACTTTGATAAAAGCTATAAAGTGTCCAGCCTAATTAGTATTTGGATGGAAGACTGCCGGAATATTGTTAAAGACTCAGACTAGATTGGAATATTTAAAAAAAAATGAAGTGGTGATAAAAAATATCTGATTTCCATATAATAAACAATGCCCTTGGGAAAATGTTTAGGTAACCACAGACGCCCCCCCCCCCCCCC